CATACATAATGAAATGGGTAGCTTTATCATTTCATAAGAAAAAAATTATAGAAAATATATTAATTCAGGAAAACTTGGCTTATTAGGCAAATCGGGCCTTGCATAGTAGGCTGAGAAGTGCGTTCTGGCTACTAGGTACGACATATATATATATATATATATATATATTAGTATATTTTGGTAGCAGTCTTTCCTGTAGACATATATTATTAAATATGACCGAAAAAGTAAGATTAATAATTCTAACACGTATTTTCTCAATCTTTCGTACATTACGCTTCACTGTTGGAGGTAAATCAAAAATCAATTCTCCAAAATTCATTTTTATTTCTAGTCTGACGCGACACGGGCGCGTTTCGTAAAACTTATTACATTTTCAAAGACTTTAGTTCACAAATACACAACTGAATAGAACTTACGTATCTCCGATTTTATATCTACATTTGAGTGAGGTGGAAGGGGTGATGTGGCATTAACACAAGACAGAACAAGATGTGGTATTAATAGGGTATTAATTTCATCAACACAAGACAGAACAAGGTATTAATAGGGTATTAATTTATCAACACAAGACAGAACACGAAACAATGGATATTGAATAGAAGTGTTTGTAGAAAGCCTATTGGTCCATATTTCTTGATGCTTCTATATTGGAGCGGAGTCTTGAGGTGGGTAGAATATAGTTGTGCAATAATTGGCTGTTGATTGCTGGTGGTGACTTCTTGATGTGTAGTGCCTCGCAAACGTCAAGCCGCCTGCTATCGCTGTATCTATCGATGATTTCTGTGTTGTTTACTAGGATTTCTCTGGCGATGGTTTGGTTGTGGGAAGAGATTATATGTTCCTTAATGGAGCCCTGTTGCTTATGCATCGTTAAACGCCTAGAAAGAGATGTTGTTGTCTTGCCTATATACTGGGTTTTTTGGAGCTTACAGTCCCCAAGTGGGCATTTGAAGGCATAGACGACGTTAGTCTCTTTTAAAGCGTTCTGTTTTGTGTCTGGAGAGTTTCTCATGAGTAGGCTGGCCGTTTTTCTGGTTTTATAGTAAATCGTCAGTTGTATCCTCTGATTTTTGTCTGTAGGGATAACGTTTCTATTAACAATATCTTTCAGGACCCTTTCCTCCGTTTTATGAGCTGTGGAAAAGAAGTTCCTGTAAAATAGTCTAATAGGGGGTATAGGTGTTGTGTTAGTTGTCTCTTCAGAGGTTGCATGGCTTTTCACTTTCCTTCTTATGATGTCTTCGATGAAACCATTGGAGAAGACGTTATTGACTAGGACCTGCCTTACCCTACAGAGTTCTTCGTCGACTTGCTTCCATTCTGAGCTGTGGCTGAGAGCACGGTCGACATATGCGTTAACAACACTCCTCTTGTACCTGTCAGGGCAGTCGCTGTTGGCATTTAGGCACATTCCTATGTTTGTTTCCTTAGTGTAGACTGCAGTGTGGAAACCTCCGCCCTTTTCCATGACTGTTACATCTAGAAAGGGCAGCTTCCCATCCTTTTCCATCTCGTAAGTGAAACGCAGCACGGAACTCTGCTCAAATGCCTCCTTCAGCTCCTGTAGATGTCTGACATCAGGTACCTGTGTAAAAATGTCGTCAACATACCTGCAGTATATATACTGCATACCTCGAGACACAAAAGAAGGTCACTACCAAAGATACCTTACAAGCAGAACTTATTGCAGAAGGAGGAAAGAATCGAGGCAACTACAGAAGCACCATACTGTCCCCCGAGCTTAAAGCGGCAGCTAAAAGCCTTCGTGAGAACAAGGAGATAGTTGTCAGGAGAGGTGACAAGTCGCCAATATATGTCATTCTTAAAAAAGACGAATATCTGGCGAAAATAAACATCAGACTCTCTGACCAAACTAAGTTCCAAAGGGTAACGAAGGACACTACAGCCGAATTAAAAGCAAAGGTCAACAAACTGATCGAAACTGTTAACGCCAAGAAATCCGGACTCCACCTGCCAAAGATCATTGGGGAATATAAACCTGGATATGCGTATGGAAATGTCAAGACGCACAAGCCTGGAAACCCACTTCGGCCAATCATTAGCCAGATACCCACACCCACGTACAGACTGGCGAAGCGACTCAACGGCCTGCTGACTCCTTATGTTCCTTGCGCCTTCAGCCTGAAGTCTCCAAAGGAATTTGTTGACTTACTGCGGGGCACACGGGCCACAGGGATAAGAGCCTCGTTGGACGTAGAATCGCTGTTTACCAACGTACCTGTGGACGAGACAATCGGAATGATAGCCGACAGAGTGTATCGTGATCCAGCCTGTACTCCTCTTGACATACCAGAAAATATTCTGAGGAAACTACTCCAAGCTTGTACTAAAGAGGCACCCTTCTTGAGCCCGGATGGGCACATGTATAAGCAAGTAGATGGGGTCGCCATGGGTTCTCCCCTAGGTGTCCTGTTTGCAAACTTCTACATGGGTACCATCGAGCAAAAAGTCTTAGTCAACATGAACTTGAAACCGGCCATATACTGCAGGTATGTTGACGACATTTTTACACAGGTACCTGATGTCAGACATCTGCAGGAGCTGAAGGAGGCATTTGAGCAGAGTTCCGTGCTGCGTTTCACTTACGAGATGGAAAAGGATGGGAAGCTGCCCTTTCTAGATGTAACAGTCATGGAAAAAGGCGGAGGTTTCCACACTGCAGTCTACACTAAGGAAACAAACATAGGAATGTGCCTAAATGCCAACAGCGACTGCCCTGACAGGTACAAGAGGAGTGTTGTTAACGCATATGTCGACCGTGCTCTCAGCCACAGCTCAGAATGGAAGCAAGTCGACGAAGAACTCTGTAGGGTAAGGCAGGTCCTAGTCAATAACGGCTTCTCCAATGGTTTCATCGAAGACATCATAAGAAGGAAAGTGAAAAGCCATGCAACCTCTGAAGAGACAACTAACACAACACCTATACCCCCTATTAGACTATTTTACAGGAACTTCTTTTCCACAGCTCATAAAACGGAGGAAAGGGTCCTGAAAGATATTGTTAATAGAAACGTTATCCCTACAGACAAAAATCAGAGGATACAACTGACGATTTACTATAAAACCAGAAAAACGGCCAGCCTACTCATGAGAAACTCTCCAGACACAAAACAGAACGCTGTAAAAGAGACTAACGTCGTCTATGCCTTCAAATGCCCACTTGGGGACTGTAAGCTCCAAAAAACCCAGTATATAGGCAAGACAACAACATCTCTTTCTAGGCGTTTAACGATGCATAAGCAACAGGGCTCCATTAAGGAACATATAATCTCTTCCCACAACCAAACCATCGCCAGAGAAATCCTAGTAAACAACACAGAAATCATCGATAGATACAGCGATAGCAGGCGGCTTGACGTTTGCGAGGCACTACACATCAAGAAGTCACCACCAGCAATCAACAGCCAATTATTGCACAACTATATTCTACCCACCTCAAGACTCCGCTCCAATATAGAAGCATCAAGAAATATGGACCAATAGGCTTTCTACAAACACTTCTATTCAATACCCATTGTTTGCGTTCTGTCTTGTGTTGATACTTTTAATACCCTATTAATATCCCCTCTTGTTCTGTCTTGTGTTAATGCCACATCACCCCTCCCACCTCACTCAAATGTAGATATAAAATCGGAGATACGTAAGTTCTAATCAGTTGTGTATTTGTGAACTAAAGTCTTTGAAAATGTAAAAAGTTTTACGAAACGCGCCCGTGTCGCGTCAGACTAGAAATAAAAATGAATTTTGGAGAATTGATTTTTGATTTACCTCCAACAGTGAAGCGTAATGTACGAAAGATTGAGAAAATTCGTGTTAGAATTATTAATCTTATTTTTCGGTCATATTTAATATATATATATATATATATATATATATATATATATATATATATATATATATATATATATATATATATATATATATATATATATATATATATATACCTTAATTTATTGCCTGGCAATGGCAATTCTGTAATTGCAGAGTCTCTGAAACCTGAAAACATTTGTTATTATTAGGAAAAAAAAAAAACTCCATATATATATATATATATATATATATATATATATATATATATATATATATATATATATATATATATATATATATATATATATATATATATAATATCATATATGGCTATCCTCTCTGAAATTGCAGGGGAAAGGACTTGAGTCCTTGATGTATGTAGGGTGGATCATAGTAGGCTTCAGTTAAATGCCTTATAAAGACCCTTAGGCCATTTTCATAGTCATTCCTGATGCAAATGTCCTGTCAAGGGTGTATAGATAGATGAATAAATAAGGTTGTAGATAAATGGATAAAGGGGTAATATTATAAACACATTTGTAAAAATATTATTATAAATTATAAATACTGTATATTTATATAAAATTATTTAAATTTATATATAAAAATATTTTTGGGTCAAAATATTGACTTATAGTTTGAGTAAAATTTAAAATAGCTAAAGAAGATAGTCTAAAAATCAGTGTAAGATTATAATTAAAGTATAATTATTTCAGCCGCTGCCGAACTTGCTGCAGAAATAAAAAAAAATCCAAGAATCGCAAGTGAAGATTTCTCAATGGCAGCCAAGAAGAATGAAGGCTGAAATTTCTTGGGAAGAAAGTCGGTCAGTTCTATTTGAGTGGGAGGTGTGTAGGCACGCTGTTCCAGTTGAAGGTACATACACAATACTTATAAGCATATTGTCTATTTACATCAGCATATCAGTTTACATTACAACTTATTATATTTGCATTTTTTTTAGTTATATTTTTTGAATAGAGAGTGGATACTTCGTTTTAAATATACCTGAAGCATTTTATCACTAATGAAAAATGTTTATGTATACTTATAGACCATATTTTTTTCCTAATTCTGCATGATCTGAAACTGAACAAAAGTCTTTTTTGACAAAGATGCGATATTTTTGAACATATGTTTTCAAATATTTTCATTTGACAGACACAAAATGCTTCAAATATATGCTTGAAGCCAGCATCAAATGTGAAGATTGTCATCGCCTATTCTACTACCACTGTGATATGAAAAAACATTTTTTAAACCCATTCCATGATAGGTTTTCCTGGGCCAGTGGATATTATGAAGCATTGCCACCAACTGTGACTGTTGACCTTAATGGGACATTTACTGACTGGCGTATGTAAACCAAAAAATTATTTACATATGAAAACTTTTCTTTTTACCAAGCCTTTACAATATAAGTACCAAAATATTGAAAGAAAAAAATAAATAATTTTTTTACTCAATAAGCAATTCAATTTTTATGGCATTTGACTTACTGAATATTATTTAAATATGCAATCTTTGCTAAGTTTATTATTATTTTCTTATTCAGAACCTGTTGTGCCAGTTCCTGTGCCAAAAATTTCCTGTAACTGTAAAGACTGTAACCTTAACGTAAAGAGTTCTGACATCATGTGTACTTTCATAATGCTCTCAGGTATATTTTATTTAATATTAAGTTTGAACACATAAGTCTATGAGTATTTGCATCACTGAATATAGTAGCATCACTGAAGTTCTAGTGACGATACCCATACCCAAGCATGTGGACTTCAATCTTTGAGACACACAAACATATCCATTCAGTGATGGAGATGAGTTTTACAAAAGATTCAAAATAAGCTGCTTTATTTTAGGAATAAATACTAAAACTAAGCTTTCTAGGCAGGTATGACCTTTATCTGCCCATATTTGAGTGTCAAGAGTGTGGATACAGCCTTCCTGCAGATGCTAAGATGTTGTATGATGGTGGATACTTCTGCTCATCAGCCAGGAAAAGTAACACATTCTTCAGCACCAAACTCCTGAACAACTGGCATTTCTTTAAAAGGAACAGTCCAGGTTTATCAATGAAATCCTTGTTAATAGCGCTCCAAGCCCTTGGCTCTCATAATGGAAGAGTAAGTATTTATTAATTTTATATATGTAATGTAAGTACCTGTATACATTAAACTGTATATATAATAATACATAAAAATATGAACCCACTCCACACATTCTCTTGTGCCACTTACATGTACAAAACCTTGTTCCTAAATGCACATCCTGATCTGAAACTCTTCCTTGATAGATGTAAAGGATCCCATAATCACCACACCAGAAATCAATATCTCTCTGATATCCCCCGAGTCAAACTAAATCTGTGCAAACTCTCTATGCAAATAAAATAATTGGTTATTGCTCCTAATTGGTAAACTCTTTATTGAATTAAAAGCTGTCCAGCTGTTCAAAACATTATTCAAAAGTAAAACTAAAAAGCATTAATTTCATCCTTATAGTTTCCTACATAGTTCTTCAAACTTGCACTGTTACTTGTGCTACCCACTCCCCCAATATATATGGCTAACTCATGCTACTTGCATGGCTTAGCCACATCTGGGCCTAGTGCTGGGAACTAGGTTCCCAGCACTAGGCTGGGAACAAGGTTCCCAGTATTAGGCTGGGAACGTAGTTGTAAAATCTTGCACTATAACTTGTGCTACCCACTCCCCCAATATATGGGGCTAATCCATGCAAATTCTATATTCAGTATATATTTCAGGATGGTTGCATCAACTTTGAAGCTGCTAAAAGAACATTCCAGGAGTGGAGATTTATGCAGTATGAACTTGCAAATGTCCAAAGCTACAATAAGACCGTGTGCCCTGCTTGTCATACTAACCCATTTGCCATACATATTGATGGCAACAAAAAGTTATTCCGATATGAAAAAGTTGGAAGGTACAATTCTTAATTAATTTTCCTTTTTTTGTAAGATAAATTTTTATTTTTCAACAATTAATACATTTCTATTAGGGCAACTTATATATCACAATACATTATTCGTTATGTAAATATATCAATATCTGAAAAATTCTTACATGCAATACATAATAGCGTTATTCATGTATTACAACATTAGTTAATATATATTTACACAATCATCAAAATTGAAAACAAATCAATGTAAATTATGTAAATACTGTCATTTTGTTTCTTTCAGAGGATTGAGGGAATCATATTATTCAGAGTGTCTTTGCTGCTGACAATGATGTGACTAATCACCTTAACCATATAGAGAGCTTAAAAACAAAGGTAAATATTATGTGTACAGACTTTGAAAACTGTACATAGATTTTATATTTTTATTTATATATACAAGACTTTTTACATTCTTGTACAGCCACTAGCACGCATAGTGTTTCAAGCAAGTCGTTAATCCTATGTTCCCCAGAATATGACCCCACCAAATCCATAAACAACCAGGTACCCATTTTACTGTTGGGTAAACAGGGGGGGGGGCCATAGTTAAGGGTTGATGCCCAGTAAATCTTCCAAGGCCAGGATACAAACCCAGGACAAAGCGCTCGCGAAACGCCAGGCGAGTGTCTTAACCCACTACACCATTGGGAAAAGACAGTCATGATGTCTTACAGTTTACAGAGTAAATATATATATTATAACAAGTAGTTAGGTTTTTTTAACCCACAGGCAAGTCAACAAGTAAAACATAGAGTACTCAACGTTTGTCAAGAGCTACATGCACCATATAAATGGTGATTTTGGGGGTCTGAAGCCATATTGAGTAAGATGCTATATTTCTGTTGGTCTATATCACTTTTATATAAACCATCAGGTTAGGTTCTTTTCATTATTTATTATATATTTTATATATACTGTATTTATATAATATATATATATATATATATTATATATATATATATATATATATATATATTATATATATATATATATATATATATATATATATATATGCGAACAAGCCTGAATGGTCCCCAGGACTATATGCGAATGAAAACTCACACCCCAGAAGTGACTCGAACCCATACTCCCAGGAGCAACGCAACTGGTAACTACAGGGCGCCTTAATCCACTTGACCATCACGGCCGTCAAAAGGAAGTGATAGCCAAGGCTATTTGAGCCACTTCCCCGACGGCAACTCGGATGGTAATCTTGGGCATAGCATTTCACCAAATCACCTCATTCTTTGGGGCACACGTGAGGAACACAAATGCGAACAAGCCTGAATGGTCCTCAGGACTATATGCGAATGAAAACTCACACCCCAGAAGTGACTCGAACCCATACTCCCAGGAGCAACGCAACTGGTAACTACAGGGCGCCTTAATCCACTTGACTATCACGGCCGTCAAAAGGAAGTGATAGCCAAGGCTATTTGAGCCACTTCCCCGACGGCAACTCGGATGGTAATCTTGGGCATAGCATTTCACCAAATCACCTCATTCTTTGGGGCACACGTGAGGAACACAAATGCGAACAAGCTTGAATGGTCCCCAGGACTATATGCGAATGAAAACTCACACCCCAGAAGTGACTCGAACCCATACTCCCAGGAGCAACGCAACTGGTAACTACAGGGCGCCTTAATCCACTTGACCATCACGGCCGTCAAAAGGAAGTGATAGCCAAGGCTATTTGAGCCACTTCCCCGATGGCAACTCGGATGGTAATCTTGGGCATAGCATTTCACCAAATCACCTCATTCTTTGGGGCACACGTGAGGAACACAAATGCGAACAAGCTTGAATGGTCCCCAGGACTATATGCGAATGAAAACTCACACCCCAGAAGTGACTCGAACCCATACTCCCAGGAGCAACGCAACTGGTAACTACAGGGCGCCTTAATCCACTTGACCATCACGGCCGTCAAAAGGAAGTGATAGCCAAGGCTATTTGAGCCACTTCCCCGACGGCAACTCGGATGGTAATCTTGGGCATAGCATTTCACCAAATCACCTCATTCTTTGGGGCACACGTGAGGAACACAAATGCGAACAAGCCTGAATGGTCCCCAGGACTATATGCGAATGAAAACTCACACACCAGAAGTGACTTGAACCCATACTCCAAGGAGCAATGCAACTGGTAACTACAGGGCGCCTTAATCCACTTGACCATCAAGGCCGTCAAAAGGAAGTGATAGCCAAGGCTATTTGAGCCACTTCCCCGACGGCAACTCGGATGGTAATCTTGGGTATAGCATTTCACCAAATCACCTCATTCTTTGGGGCACACGTGAGGAACACAAATGCGAACAAGCCTGAATGGTCCCCAGGACTATATGCGAATGAAAACTCACACCCCAGAAGTGACTCGAACCCATACTCCCAGGAGCAACGCAACTGGTAACTACAGGGCGCCTTAATCCACTTGACCATCACGGCCGTCAAAAGGAAGTGATAGCCAAGGCTATTTGAGCCACTTCCCCGACGGCAACTCGGATGGTAATCTTGGGCATAGCATTTCACCAAATCACCTCATTCTTTGAGGCACACGTGAGGAACACAAATGCGAACAAGCCTGAATGGTCCCCAGGACTATATGCGAATGAAAACTCACACCCCAGAAGTGACTCAAACCCATACTCCCAGGAGCAACGCAACTGGTAACTACAGGGCGCCTTAATCCACTTGACCATCACGGCCGTCAAAAGGAAGTGATAGCCAAGGCTATTTGAGCCACTTCCCCGAAGGCAACTCGGATGGTAATCTTGGGCATAGCATTTCACCAAATCACCTCATTCTTTGGGGCACACGTGAGGAACACAAATGCGAACAAGCCTGAATGGTCCCCAGGACTATATGCGAATGAAAACTCACACCCCAGAAGTGACTCGAACCCATACTCCCAGGAGCAACGCAACTGGTAACTACAGGGCGCCTTAATCCACTTGACCATCACGGCCGTCAAAAGGAAGTGATAGCCAAGGCTATTTGAGCCACTTCCCCGACGGCAACTCGGATGGTAATCTTGGGCATAGCATTTCACCAAATCACCTCATTCTTTGGGGCACACGTGAGGAACACAAATGCGAACAAGCCTGAATGGTCCCCAGGACTATATGCGAATGAAAACTCACACCCCAGAAGTGACTCGAACCCATACTCCCAGGAGCAATGCAACTGGTAACTACAGGGCGCCTTAATCCACTTGACCATCACGGCCGTCAAAAGGAAGTGATAGCCAAGGCTATTTGAGCCACTTCCCCGACGGCAACTCGGATGGTAATCTTGGGCATAGCATTTCACCAAATCACCTCATTCTTTGGGGCACACGTGAGGAACACAAATGCGAACAAGCCTGAATGGTCCCCAGGACTATATGCGAATGAAAACTCACACCCCAGAAGTGACTCGAACCCATACTCCCAGGAGCAACGCAACTGGTAACTACAGGGCGCCTTAATCCACTTGACCATCACGGCCGTCAAAAGGAAGTGATAGCCAAGGCTATTTGAGCCACTTCCCCGACGGCAACTCGGATGGTAATCTTGGGCATAGCATTTCACCAAATCACCTCATTCTTTGGGGCACACGTGAGGAACACAAATGCGAACAAGCCTGAATGGTCCCCAGGACTATATGCGAATGAAAACTCACACACCAGAAGTGACTCGAACCCATACTCCAAGGAGCAATGCAACTGGTAACTACAGGGCGCCTTAATCCACTTGACCATCAAGGCCGTCAAAAGGAAGTGATAGCCAAGGCTATTTGAGCCACTTCCCCGACGGCAACTCGGATGGTAATCTTGGGTATAGCATTTCACCAAATCACCTCATTCTTTGGGGCACACGTGAGGAACACAAATGCGAACAAGCCTGAATGGTCCCCAGGACTATATGCGAATGAAAACTCACACCCCAGAAGTGACTCAAACCCATACTCCCAGGAGCAACGCAACTGGTAACTACAGGGCGCCTTAATCCACTTGACCATCACGGCCGTCAAAAGGAAGTGATAGCCAAGGCTATTTGAGCCACTTCCCCGACGGCAACTCGGATGGTAATCTTGGGCATAGCATTTCACCAAATCACCTCATTCTTTGAGGCACACGTGAGGAACACAAATGCGAACAAGCCTGAATGGTCCCCAGGACTATATGCGAATGAAAACTCACACCCCAGAAGTGACTCGAACCCATACTCCCAGGAGCAACGCAACTGGTAACTACAGGGCGCCTTAATCCACTTGACCATCACGGCCGTCAAAAGGAAGTGATAGCCAAGGCTATTTGAGCCACTTCCCCGAAGGCAACTCGGATGGTAATCTTGGGCATAGCATTTCACCAAATCACCTCATTCTTTGGGGCACACGTGAGGAACACAAATGCGAACAAGCCTGAATGGTCCCCAGGACTATATGCGAATGAAAACTCACACCCCAGAAGTGACTCGAACCCATACTCCCAGGAGCAATGCAACTGGTAACTACAGGGCGCCTTAATCCACTTGACCATCACGGCCGTCAAAAGGAAGTGATAGCCAAGGCTATTTGAGCCACTTCCCCGACGGCAACTCGGATGGTAATCTTGGGCATAGCATTTCACCAAATCACCTCATTCTTTGGGGCACACGTGAGGAACACAAATGCGAACAAGCCTGAATGGTCCCCAGGACTATATGCGAATGAAAACTCACACCCCAGAAGTGACTCGAACCCATACTCCCAGGAGCAACGCAACTGGTAACTACAGGGCGCCTTAATCCACTTGACCATCACGGCCGTCAAAAGGAAGTGATAGCCAAGGCTATTTGAGCCACTTCCCCGACGGCAACTCGGATGGTAATCTTGGGCATAGCATTTCACCAAATCACCTCATTCTTTGGGGCACACGTGAGGAACACAAATGCGAACAAGCCTGAATGGTCCCCAGGACTATATGCGAATGAAAACTCACACCCCAGAAGTGACTCGAACCCATACTCCCAGGAGCAACGCAAATGGTAACTACAGGGCGCCTTAATCCACTTGACCATCACGGCCGTCAAAAGGAGGTGTATATATATATATATATATATATATATATATATATATATATATATATATATATATATATATATATATATATATATATATATATATATATATATATATATATATATATATATATATATATATATATATATATATATATATATATATATAATGATATATATAATATATATCATTTATATTTGATTTTCAGAATAGCCAAAATTGTGGTGTCTCGTTGTGGAAAGCGGCGCGAAACGAACCGTATACACACAAATCCCTGGACTAAACTGGCATAAGCCTTGCATCATGCCGGCATGGTGTAATTCTCAAAATGTGCAATATGACTCGTGGTGAGGTTTTTGGCTATGCACACTATCTCCATATAAATTACTTCAAAAGTGCCAAGTACATCTGCCAGGACATCATATGCAAGTACTGGCCATGGGCCCTGAAAATTCAAGAAAAAAAGATAAAATTCACCCTACTGGAGACAAAGCCGTTCCTAGGTGTTTTGCATGCAAAAGCACATGCATGGTATTGCCAGGTAAATAATTATCATTTGTCAAAATAACGGGTATAAATTTAACGTTATTTTAGGGTTAAAAAGCTATTAATCAGAATAAAGTATTTAGTCATAATTAAATTTTTGAGCAATCGACTAATATTCTTTCCTTGTAATTATTTTACAGTGTGTTACATCTTAATTATAGGTCTTGTATGGAGGACGCTGGCAGCACGGAAGTGGTTTGACCACAGGTGAAGAAACCGAGCAAATTTTCAGCTATATGTCGCGGTACAACAGTACCACCAAAAACATGTTGAAAGCCGGTTAGTTTATAGTGCATTGTTACAATGAGGAAGGTATAATCTATTAAAACTTGTTAGTGATATTTATTATGTGTAATGAAGATGACTTCAGTAACTAGCAACACCTGGTGTCACCCTACAACTTTGTGTATATGAATTGGATTTGATTAATATAGCAAGTAAATTATAGATAGTATAAAAGTAAATGTTGACCAGACCACACACTAGAAGGTGAAGGGATGACGACGTTTCAGTCCGTCCTGGACCATTCTAAAGTCGATTGTGATGAGGAAGTAGAGGCAGGCAATAAATAGGCTAGAGAGAGCTGAGGAGCAAAGTAAGGTGTATTTCAGGGGATAGTAATAATAATAAGAGCTGCAGATGGCCTATTGGCCCATACGAGGCAGCTGCTATTATAACCACTGAATGAGAAGGAGATAGGAATAAGAACTAACTAACACACCAACAAACTAACACACTTCGTAGCAATCTAGTTCACAGTACTCCTCAAAAAAAAAAAAAAATGCTCCTCCTGCTACTGGTGTCTACTCTATTTCCTGTTCATCTTGTACAATACTTTGGCGAAACTGGCTGTACACTGAATGACAGACTTAAAGAACACAAGAGAAGTGTTAAGTCTGCAGACACTAACAATGCTCCCTTCTGCCATGTGAGGGATTCTAATCATCCCATAGATTGGTCTTCCTCCAAAATAATCTTTCCTGCCTCTACTCTCCACAGACGCCGTCTTGTTGAATCGGCTCTAATACACAATGTACCTAACATGAACTTGAGTCCTGGCTTTGTTGCTGTGGACTCTTCCCTTTCACAGTATATACTCAAATGCTCTAATCATTCTAACAAACGTGACCTAACATAAGCCTACCCCTTCTATTTATCTATCTTTTCTTTCTCTTTCCTTTTCTTTCTCTCTCCCTTTCTTCTGTTCATTGTCTTCTCCTACGCTCCCTTGCTATCGTCTTCTTATTCCTATCTCCTTCTCATTTGGTGGTTATAATAGCAGCTGCCTCGTATGGGCCAATAGGCCCTCTGCAGCTCTTATTATTATTACTATCCTCTAAAATACACCTTACTTTGCTCCTCAGCTCTCTCTAGCCTATTTATTGCCTGTCTCTACTTCCTCATCACAAATGACTTGAGAATGGTCCAGGATGGACCGAAACGTCCTCGTCCCTTCACCTTCTAGTGTGTGGTCTGGTCTACATACTTTAGCCACGTTATTGTGACTCATCGCCTGCATAAAAGTGAATTATTTTCATTTTACATATTCATTGAATGGAGTTATTTTTTGTCCCTTGTTTTCAGAGCGTGAAGAAGAACTTAGTGAATCTTCATTTTTTTTGGAACCAACGTAAACATGACTCTTTAGCTCGTGTTCTAGCTTCAAGATTTTGTAAGGCAAGTAATTTGCTTTATTCATTGAATATATGCAACAATGATCATGAATCACTAATATTAGTGCACAGGAAAAAAACATTCAAAAATAAAAATAACATTTACTGCCATTAAACAGCCTTCATCAGCAGTTAGGCTCGTAAGGATTGTTTTTTTTTTGTAATATCAAATATTAAATAAAAATTGCAACATTTATTATACTAACAGGGCAGTTTTTCCTCCTGTTGATAGGCAAAAGAAGCTGCAGAGTTAATAAGAAAGGAGTTAGCTGACTTATCTCTTGATGAAAAACAACTTCTCATCTGGATTGCAGAGTTAACCAACTTAGCCCAGAGTTTAAATAAAAGGTTTACTTGTAAAATATATAGTAAGAAACACTGTTTTGAAATACTCTTATATATTTTAACAAGGTTATTGTGCTGTAAAATCAATGCAGTACCATAAATCATAAAATTGCCAAAACATTTCTTTATTATTTTAATTGTTTAGTTCTTGTACAGTAATTGTCAGCCATCATAAAATGCCATTGTGACCATTGCCTAAAAATTTAAGTAAAATTTTTGTTTAATTAATCAGGGTCTTTACATGTTTGAATTTAGTAAACATTATAGTAAACAGTATCCTCTATTCTCAACAGATCAGTTTCTCAAAATGATGTTCAAAAGGGGATAGAGTTAGTATGTGACTCAATTAGAACCAAGAAATCCCACGTATCCAGTGTAGCAGGTATGTTAAAGCTTATGTATAAGTTAGGGACTGATAAAACAAACAAAAATCTTTTAGTGTTTGTAAAATACTTCAAGAAAACAATGACTTTTTTTTTATCTAAACACATCTAATGTCGTTTATTTCTAAGGTAGATTTGTATGGATACCATCTCACTTAGGTGTTGTCCTATGTAATTATAGGTAATTGTCAAAATTAAGTTGAGATATCAATATCTATGGCAGGTGCCTGAGGTAATGAATCTGCCAATGGAAATCATTCCAGTTGTAAACTATGTGAACAAAAGCTAAGACATACTGTCTATCACTATATCTGTGATTGCCCTGTTATCAATGACTTCAGAACAAATGATATGATGTACTTTGAGTTTTGTTATTACTTCATACACTCAGGAATATTGGAAGATATTCTTGTGCTGTACCCCGATTTTGTTAGTGGAGGCTAATAGATCAGCCTTACACTTCATATTCTCTCCAGATTCCATGTATGACTGGCTGTCCTGTGAGGTTTTTGATCTACACTGTGGTCTTTCATACATAATAGGATAGCAGCACATTGCTGTGTATACCTAAACTTGTTAAAAAAAAGTGCTTGGCAAATATTTATGTAGTGTTCTGCTACTTTTGTGTAGGTATTCACTACTAAGTATATACAAAACAAATTTATCAACTATAATCATATTTACTAGTAACAAAGTGTTTCTTTCAGTTTCAAGCAAAATGAGATCACGATACCGTGCAAAGATTGAAGCAGATAAGAAAAAGTTGAGGGAACTGATAGCGGTCTACAATGAAGACAATACAGAAAAACTTAGTGTGGAGATTGCTGAAGAGGGCAACTTTCCATGGTATAATGACACTCCTCAACCAACTGATAATGGTAAGTATATTTGGTTATTTTTCTGTGCATATTGGCCTTGTCAATGAGGATAAATATTGTTAGCTACTAACATGTTAATTCAAACTTACTCATTATGGTAATGAACAAATAGAAGTCCATGCCTAATTTATATTTTTAAGATAATAATATTAACAAGATACCTTAAAAATGATTACATATGATTGCATTGTTGTTGCATAATACATGCATCCTACAATGACAGATTTGTTCATGTTCCTTATTAAATAATTTACTTTATATTTTATTTTTGAATGTTTTAAGTTACTCTTCAAGAAAAGAGAAGTGCTGCAGAAAAGCTGCATATGTACAACAGGACTATGGAAGAACAAAATGTCATTCAACTGGAAATGAAAAGTTACTTGGATTTCTACAGAAAAAAGCTTGAAGAGATAACACAAAGACTAGATGATGTACAAAACAAAAGTGCTCCACCCTCTTGGATAATTGAAGTTAGTATCAGGTATCAATATTAACTTAATTACTCCACTGAAATAAATGTTATTGCATTATAGCTACTTGGTAATTATTTTAACAGGTAGCTTAATCATTGTTGTTTGTGTCTAAGCTAAGTAAAATTAGTAAAAGCATTTTGTAGACACAAATTGTAATATATTTTCATTGTCACTTTTACTGGTTCAAGTTTAAATGAAACACTTGTTAGGAAAACAAACATTTCATTAAAAAAATGCCTGAAATAATGATGTGTGTTTGTTTTACAGGAACAGGGTAAATACTCAATAAAGAAGTCATCATTCCAGCATATAACCAGTGGACTTACGGCCCTCTTGCTAAATATGAAAAAATGCTATCAACTGAAGCTATTTGAGGCAACTAACCTGTTTTCTGAAGACAGGGAAGTAGAGTACAACAAATTTCAAACAGACAGTCAAGATTCCGAGGATTTTGAGACCGACAGTGACAACAGTGTAGTTAGTATTGAGTCACAGACTAACAACGAAGAAATGGAAGAAACACTCTTCCCTTTGATTTGAGTAGCTTTAAGTAGCAAAGCAAAGAGGAAAATAACAAGTATTCTCTACCCATGGGTTGGGCAAATGTTCTTTGCTCAAATCATCGTCAAGTTAATTTTGCATCCCTATGTTGCTCAAGAAAGATTTGTTTTCAAATGAGTTTTTATTTTTATTAATTACCCTCAAAGTTTTGTTTAGTTTAGAAATGCTTATTAAATAAATTGTAGTTGTAGTTATGTGCAATTTCTTTGCTTTCCTTCAAAAAACACAAAAAAAAACACAAAAAAGGTAAACATGAAAAATGAGTGCCCAAATGAGATACAGAAAACTTTTTTAGTATCAGTAGTTGACAGATGGAATGCATCAGGAAGTGATGTTGTGGAGGCAGACTCCGTACAAAGTTTCAAGTGTGGATATGACGGCCCAGTAGGTTCAGGAAACTACTACATTTGAGAGGATGCTTCCTAGCATTACGTAAGTAATGAAGAAATATGATATATTTACTCACTATAATGTTCGTACTGAATGTAGAACATGGAAATACACATTTTTACTCTGAAATAATCATATTTTATAACGAAATTATACGAAACTTAACTCGCAGTTCAACACAGAAAGTCTACATTCTAAGCCTGGTAGCACTCGAAATTATTGACAACACTGAAGTAGACAGCTTAATTATTTCTGACTCCCTTTCTTCACTACGAGCAATAAACAGTTTGCAATCAAGTAATAACGTGCTTGTCTTGGAAGCTAGACATAGATATATAAGAATACTTAGCAAGAGGGTAAATATAAAAATGTTGTGGATTCCTTCTCACATTGGCATGCAGGAACATGACAATAAATAAGCCTCTGTATCTCTTTCCACTTCGGCTCACAAGATGGGTATAGGGTGCATAATAAATGCGCTAAAGAGAGAATGTTGTGGCTTTGGGTAATTAGATGATTCCTATTTTGCTATAAAATTATGTTAGTTTAGAGTAAAAATAAGTTTTTTTTTTCATGATGTTCTACATTCAGCACCAACAATATAGTGAGTAAATATATCGTAGTGTTTCATTACTTACGTATACTGTACTAAGAAGCTTTGGGTAATTAGACGGACTGCCACACACCAACCAACCTACCTGATTTACATGAGGTTTTGTCATATATACCAATAACATAGATGAAAATATTACAAACCACATCATCAAATTATAATGTAAATTATAATTAAATGCAAGATCTTGTATATGGGCCATAACAATCCACGTCACAAGTACTAAATTAACAGTACTACTTTACATAAAGAATATTAAATGTTTATTCAGGTAAAAGTTCTAATAGCAGATTTGTATGGCATAATTAGGGGACATGAATGATTTTGGGTAGTAGAACCCCAAGCACATGTACAATAATTAAGATAATGGCAAATGGCAAATTGTGAGTGTCTGAACTCGGGGAGCGAGAGCGTGGCGGCTCGATGCGGTCGTAGTCTGCTGTCTGCTCTGTGTCGAAGCTGTAGCGTCTTGGGTCGATTAGAACTGTACACGCCGAGTGCTACATTGTTGAATGTGGAAATTGTACTGTACTCCATTCCTCATATCGCTTGCTTATATGGTGATTACACCTCAGCTCCCTCCAACAAGCTGAGAAGAGTATTACCTGTAATTGGGGAAAGGATTGTAGCTTCTGTAATTAGTGCTAATTAGTTATGCTATTAAGATAATGAGATAATGGAGCTAGTATAAGGATTACTCGCTACAGCATTTTAAGACCAAGCAGAGTTATGCCATGTGCGGGTAGGCGATTCCATGGGTTTACAACCCTATGGGTGAAAGCATCTTTGGTTTTCTGTCCTACATTGTGGTTTCTTGAGCTTGAACCCGTTGCTCTTCGTTCGTGTTACGTCTGACCTTTTGAAAAAACTGTCCGGATTGACATCCTCCAAATTTAGTATTTTATGGGTTTCTATGAGATCCGCCCTGTCATGCCTGGTCTGCAGTGTTGTTACCCTAGTGGCCCTCATCCATTCCTGATACGAGAGATGACTAAGCTCTGGTATGATTTTTTTTAATTACCTCTTCCACTTGTTGAGCAATATTATTGTCCCCTAACTCCCCTTGCCACTTCGGGGGGGTATAGGGTGTTTATGTAGCTTCAGGGCACCAATCCCCCCAGCCACAGGGCATGGCGAGAAGGCGAAATGATGCATTCTGACTCAAACGCCCTTTCCTTCATCTATCTGTTGTGAGGTAGTGCTGTCAATTTGGTAGTTCTAAAGTGGATTGTTGTGGCCCACATGTAAGGACTAGCATTTATCGACATTAAAAAGCATTTGTCAGTCATCTGACCATTTTTGAAGTTCATTTAGATCACTTAGTAAGATCTCATTATCACCTTCAACTATTCCATGGTCCAGGGATTTTCTGAAAAGGAGTTTCACTGACAAACATAGTGAATTTGCCAGTTCAGTTCCTTTACGACTTGGGACTGAAATACATTCACACTTTGGGCTTTTGAGTCTTTTAGTTTGTCAATGCTCTTCCTGATTGTGTAGCGTGTAATTAGTATTTCCCTTAATTCATTCTCTTTACCTCCGACAAACATTTGTGTGGGTGATGGGATGTCATTCAAGCTTTCTAGTGTGAACACTAATGTAAAGTATTCGTTCAGTGTGTTTGCTGCCCTTTTATCGTGCAAGTTAACATTGTTCAGCCCGCCCTCCAAACAAAGATCCAAAAGTGATTCCATGCACCTGCCAAACCCCCCGTTTATGAATGAAAAGCGGTTTACACACGACTCACAACTGCTGACGTTCGAACATATCCGGAACAAGTGCTTCACTGACGAATTTCGCTCGAATCACAACACTATAAATGCTTCACCTACGTACTACAAATACAAATAAACGCCAACAGAACCTAAACACCTGACCTAACCTATCCTATGCCTATATATACACAATATGCCAATATATTATAATATTAATTTATACTTGAGAAAATTCCCGTTTTGAATGAACAGCATGTTAAAATTTATGAATGCGTCTGTGGGGTCGACCGCTGAATGTAATGGACTAGAGTCGAGGACGGGTTGCATTGTTAGTCTCATCTTTTATGGGTCCTACTCTGCTGTAATGGGTTTTTGTTTGGGTTTTACTTCGTATATATTTGGCCGAAACGCTAAGCGTATTAGTGGTTTTAGGTATTGTATTTTAAATTTAAAATATTTGCCCCAAGGAGAGAGTTTATTGGGAGTACTTAGCTGTGTCATTAGGCAGATAATTAACTATACAATTTGCTGTGCTCCGTCCTTTAACAAATCCATTGACCCACATCCCCTAACCTGCGTATTTTGTGCAATAGTCGGTTTCGGATGATCCTTTCGAACATGTTGCAAGTGCATGACATGAGACTGATAGGTCTGTAATTGCCAGGGTCATTGGGTTTCGGTATGGGAACAATTATTGCATGTTTCCTTTGTGTGGGCAACACTCCACTTAGGAATGACTTGTTAAACAGGTGGAGTATTGGGTTCCCAGACACTTCACCAGTGCATTGAGTATGTCGTAGGTGATGCCATCCTCACCAGGTGCTGTAATTTTATCCTTTTCATAGCCCCCTTTACTTCCTGGGCTGTGATTGGTTCCTCATACTCGTCATCACTAGATTGTGCTCTTGTTATCCTAATCCTTCTGTCATTTTGTCGGAGGAGCTGTTCCCTGCTTACTTATGCAGGGAGGGAGGAGGATGATGCTGCATCACTCCACTTGTGTATTAGTTCTTCAGCCTTACCCTGGGGGTCTTTGTGAGCCGCAGGCCGGGCTCTGTCCCCTTAGCTATCTGAATTTTTGCCCACACTTGTCTTGCAAATGTTTCTATTCCAATAGAGCTAGTGAACGCTAGCCCTTGTCTTTCCCTTTGTAACTCATCTGCAATGTATGTACCTTTACCTGAATTGAAAATCTAATCTAAATCTAAATCTAATCTATATGCTTAGAGATATGCAAATGAGAGAGTAATAGAGCGAAACCTTTAAAATACTGAACAATTTGGAGGATATTGATTCATTCAATTTCTTCAAAAGGTCAGATGTAACACGAACAAAGAACAAAGGTTTCAAGCTCAACAAGCCACAATGTAGGAGTAACAACAGATGCTTTTGAATACATAGGGTTAAGAACCCCATTGAAACCGCCTACCCAACGAAATCGTAAATGCTAAAATTCTCAAGAACTTTAAAACTCCAGCTTGAAAAAAATTATCTGGACAAATGTAGTTGTCACATATACATACTGTTCTTAAAATATTTCCCCATTTTGCACCCGCAAGATAACGTACAATTTTAAAGGTTGACGAATGTTAATTTTTTTGTTTGCAAAGCTGTTCACTTGAGACAGTTAAGAAAGTCCCAGCTGTGTCTGGGTACAAGTGACAGGATGAACGATGAAGGGTTTGCTTCCTATTGGCAAGCTCCTATGGTGGTGTGTCCACTCACATGATGAGTGGCACTGCCCAATACTGTCACTATATTCATAGTGACAGTATTGGGATGGACAGTATTGGTGTGTCCAGTCACAGGATGAGTGGCGCTGCCCAACAGTGTCACCATGGTGACAGTATTGGGCTCTTAATCTAGAGATCTTGATCACCACTACAATTTTGACCCATTGCTCCACTTTCAGCGCCTTAGTGTGGCGATCCAGATAGGAAATGCTCACTGCATCCATGGCTCCAGCCTGCCATCTGAACAGCTGGAGGAACTCTAGAACCTGTGATGAGTAGCCTTGTACAAAGCATGTAACCAATGTTGTAACCCTTTTTGTGTAATGAAATATTAAAATAAAGTTACACCCATACTAAAAGAATAGGGTGGTAGACAAGATGAAAGTGTTCAGTGAGGATCCACAAGGTCTTCTCTGAGTACTCTTTATTTTCTTCTCCGTGGCTGTGTCCCTACTCTTGCATAAGAGGTGGTACCCCTTTTAGGTTTAATAAAAAATATATATATATATATATATATATATATATATATATATATATATATATATATATATATATATATATATATATATATATATATATATATATATATATATATATATATATATATGTATATATAGTAAGTATATATATATATATATATATATATATATACT